CGAGAAGCACAGAGCTGAAGACACAAGCCTGAAGATGATGAATGAGACTTCATCGAAACGTCGCCTAGATACTTCCAATCTTACGCGGGAGAAAACCCGAATAACCAAAGATCTACATACAAATACCCTCGAGAACCTCAGAAAACAAATAGATATAGATATATAGATATTTTAAAAAAAGGTTGGAGATTGCTTACCCATCCAAAGGTAGTACATGATGGTGACCGTTTTTTGGAATTCCACGGGAATTTCGACGGAAATATCCTGGTAGAAACAGGGCTTCACGGGGCAGAAGGAAGGCAGCGGGGGCCAATTGTTCGGCTTGGCTGTAAACACAGGAAGGAAAAGGTGGGGAGGGGATTTTTTTTGGGGGGGGGAGGTGAATTTGGGGAAGGACGCCCGGAAAAAGGACGCCGTTATTACCTGTTCCACTGCTCAAGGCCGCGTTCTGCAGCTCCCTCTCTCTCCGGTCCAGCTCTTCGGCTTTCCGATTCAACTCTTCCTGGCGTTTTAAGAGGTCGGCCTTAGCTGCGGTGGCTGCTTCCTTCACGGGGAAAAAAACAGAATGTGTCAGGATTCCGGGAGTTGCCCCCCAATGAAATCCTGAGTCTCGAGCCAAGCTTCCAAAACTTCAAAAGGATTTATTGAGAGTAAACATGCCAGCACTGCTTGGGTGCAGCCGACTCTACAGACGCATAGTTCATCGTCACCTTTGACCCCGGTTTTCCCTCCATCTCCTGGGTGTATCCTAATTCATATCCTCCAATGGGACACCTCCATAGCCCAGAGCCATCAGTCAGGCTCTCCAGTTAGATTTTTGCACGGCAGAAACTTCAGTCCCCTAGTGACTTTGAAAACATTTATGGAATGCACTTTTGGTTTCCAAGCTGCCGCACTACTCCACCCTCCCTTTAGGCAACTCTAAAAATACCATAGAAATGTTTTAGAATGATGGGATGGAGCGGCAGTGCCACCCAGTGCTGGCTGCGTAGAGGGTAGCTGCCCGATGTACTTCAAGGCAGCTTGGAAGCGTCCAATTAACTGCAAAGCATTTGAGTGGGAGAATCTTTTTTTCATTATCCTACCCCTAGAACTCCCAGTCTCCTAGTGATTGGTGCAAAGTCACCCAGCTGTCTTTCATGCCTAAGGCGGGACCAGAACTCCCAGTCTCCTGGTGATTGGCGCAAAGTCACCCAGCTGTCTTTCATGCCG